CTAAATAAAAAAAATTGTATTAAATATATCCTGGGTACACCCTTAACTGAGTGTAGGCTCCGTGCCCCTCGGTGGGGACGTATAGTGAGCTGATGATGAATGATGATGTACCTGGAGATACTATAGCAAACAGTGTAAGAATTTATCAATTCGATTTAGTGCTTTCCTATTTAATGCAAACACTAAAATCTTTCTTTTTTATAATAATAGAATAGACAAATATCACTATCTTTTACCGTTATTTCGTGACGTCAGTGCACTTCAGATCCGTTCTCCAACTGAACTCTACCTGAAACTTATAGCTAAACCTCTCCAGCATCAAAACTCGATAACTAAGTTCGAAACCTCCACTGAAACTTGTTTGGAGAGCTGCAAGCACGGAATTCATCTATAAAGTGGATTTATGTTGAAAAGTTAATAAACAGGAAATGAAAGGGGGACACAGATTTGTAAAATTAGATATGAAAAAGACACTTTGCTTCACCTGCAATTTATAAAACAATTTAAATTTAATTAAAAAAAATTAAAATCAGAGCACCAGGAATGGATTTACTGGGTTACACATACTAATAGACAACCTCCTTCTTTTTGAAGTCTGCTAAAATCCGGTTACAACGACATACAATTGTACGACAATATTCAGTCGCTTTACACGATATTTCCTTACTTTATAGTTAATTATATAGTGAAAAGAAGATATATATATATATAAAACTTAATACATAAATAACAATAATACGAACAGTAACGTGCTACGAATTTGCTACGCCAAAGCTACGTTATTTCGTAGAGTCGCAGAACAAGAGCAATAAATCAGTGTCTCCTTCAATGACAAGTTAATTGAGTCTGACTTACGTAGCGGACAAAGTTTTGTGACCACTCGACTGTTTGTTATTTATAACTAGCTGTCACCTGCGGGTTTGTCCGCGAAAATAAAACTTAATAAGTAGCCTATGTGTTCTTACGGACTATGTTCTATATCTGTGCTAAATTTCATAAAGATCTATTAAGCCGTTCTGAAGATCAATCAAACATCCATCCATCCATCCATTTATAATATTAGTAATAAGGGAGATTTAACGAAAAGCCAGCATTACAAAATTTTCGTCTGTCTGTCCGCTAAGTTTTTTCCTACCTACTTTGATGATATTGGAAGGTAACTTATATATTTATAAGTAACTTGGTCATTTTTTATTCCACACTGAAGAAGTCGGAAGTAACAGACTGACTAAATAATGTACTTACTTATGTTAAAAATGTAATAAGTTTAGTAATAATCCGTAGGGTAGTAATCCTCGTCGTGTAATTAAATGGTGAACCACAAAGTGATTACTTAATCAACGTGTCACTTAATCACATAAGCTTACAATAAGTTACACAAGTCACTAGTTACTGAGTTATGAAGAACTAGCTGTCGCCCGCGATTCCGTTTGCGCGGTATTGGAACTCAATTAGTAAGTCTATGTGTTCTTCCAGGTAGCGTTCTATATATATACTAAATTTCAGCAAGGTCCCATCCCGCCACATTCGTATTTATAATATTAGTAAGATTTACGCTTTATAATGTCATGCTAATGATGAAGTTTTCTTTTAAATTAATTTGGTAGTTTTTGAGTTTACAGATATTAAAATCATGAAGATTTGATTTCGTTGAATAGACTCCGAAACTACTGAATAGTCTGGTACTGACCTTAATAAATTGTGTGCAGCGTCTAGTTCAAAATTGCAAGCCGACATAAAGATTGTATTGCACTATCCAAGGTGGGTAGGCGGTTGTGGTTTGATTCAAGCGCCACTCGACTCGTAGCGCGCTCTTTAAATCGTAAACCAACTGAACTGTTAAGGTAGGCTTACACTGTAGCTCATGAACGACTGAGATTATATTTATGTATACGGACACTGATTAGGCCATAGTCAACCAAGCTGGCCCAGTGCGGGGTGGCTTCACACATATCTTTGAATTTCTTCTCAGATATGTGCAGCATCACGATGTTTTCCTTCACCGTAACAACGTCGGATAAATGTACATATGTAAATCGGAAATTGAAAAACACATTGGTACATGGCGGGATTCGAACCCCGGACCTGCAGATTGCAAGTCAAGTCGACTCTCTTAGACGCATAAGTTTAATTTTATCTTTTGATATTGCTTGTGGATACACCAATTCTATTAACACTGCTGCTTACGCCCCCTACTCCGTCTGCACCGAATTAAGAAAAATATGGATGCCAAAGTCATCGAGATTGTTTCAGCAGTTCTGTAGATACTTTCTAACATCTATCCATCTAAACATACGCATTTATAATATTAGTAAGATAGATGAACAATATCGCTACGTAATGCAATGTAAACTCACCTTTATAAAAGGTATTTTATTTAATTTATACTTCATTATTTAGCGCCGGTACTTAAGTACTCCCGACCCAACTTTATTTCTCCATTTATATTCACGATGTTTTCCTTTTCTATTGAAATTAAATTTATTTAAAACGTCATAATTAATGTTTTTATATTCAGAGACGGAACAACTTATTTCAACCTGTTTAACCTAATTAAAGTTTTGATGGCTTTTAAATATGAAATAGTTGACTCTAAAATTGTTTAATTTACAACGACACAGGAAACAATATTCAATTGTAGCCTTACTAATATTATAAATGCCAATGTTTAGATGTATGTTAAAAAGTATCTCCAGAACTGCTGCATGAACATGAAGATCCTTCATGAAATTTGTCATAGATGTAGAACATAGTCTGGAAGAACACATAGACTACTTATTAAGTTTTTTTTTAAGCCGGACAGAGTCTCAAGACATCTAGTTTCTCAAATAATACGGTTTTAAACAAAGAAAAATTGTCTTGAACTTTTCATGCATAAAACATTGGTAAGACAAACAAAAGGTGAACCTTTTCTTTCAAATATCTTTGAAAGCTGAAGAGGTATTAAGCCGGGAAATGTTTCTGTGAACAACAAGAGATTGACAATACGTTTGCTGAAGGCTGTGCATTGTCTCGCTGAATTCGGGACACAGACTTGAACGAGGGTCGGCAATATCGAGTAACTTGTCAAACATTGAAAACTTTGTTTTTTAATTATAGAAAAGGGACTAGATAAAGGGCAGCTGTAATTTACGTCTTTATAAACAGACTGACTCAAAAACTCACTCAAAACGAACACACGTAAGGAAGTTTTGAACTTATCCTGTGTTTCCTAGAACAATATCTCCGTTTGAAACGTATCATTATCTCTGTTTTATCTCAGAAACCAAGGATGTAGTGTTCGTTTTAGTTGATAGAATTAAATATGTGTGCTCAACAGATCCTGTCTCTTAAAAGTCAAAGTTGTACTGTAAGCAAACACACGATATGAAATTGAAATGTATTTCTGTTATTAAACGCTGCAATCAAACGTTTGCGGGGTGAGAGGGGTGAGAGCGGTGGTGCGTGGGAGGGAGGGGGGGAGTGCAGCTTCCAAATAAATCTGGATGCGCCGGATATTGCCGACGAAACGAAACTAGGTCAATGTAATAGTTGCAACACAACGTAGTCGAGTAGAATGTGTGTAGCAGTTCTTATGTAAATAGTATATTTAGAAAAACAAATAAATACGAATGATAGCGTCTATGACACTACAGAAAGGAATACGAAATCACTTCGAAGTGGATCGTCACTATGTATGAAAATGACATACAAACTCATGTACAAAAATACACTAGCAGCGCCAGCAACTTCCCCGTGTTGTACTGTCTTCGGGTATCAAATTTCATCGAGATTCATACAGCTGTTTTGGAGATACCTTCAAACAAACATCCATTTAAATTTTCGCATTTATAATATTAGTAAGATATAAAAATCAAAAACAACGATATTTTGTTTTCTTTTAATATTTTATTCTTTTAATTAACAAGATAATATAGTTGTTTTTAAAATGTTTTTCTTTTCATTTTTAAGATACACAAAATAATAAGGCATGTCACTCAAGGCAGTAAAATATGTATTAGTTCGAATCTAAAAGCTTTAAAGTAATAAATGTTTGGTAAGTTATGTTTCTACTACAACAGATAAAGCCGTATTTTCCAATAAGTTTTATTTGTTCGTGAATAGATCTATCCATGATAAGTCGGACGTCCGGGTGCGAGTGGCGAACAAAACGGATGGGTGGGCGGACTTCCGACCGATACGTCTCGTTTGCAGCGGATTTGAACGTTAAATCAAGATATTGTTATACGGTATTTTCCTTTATTTATTGTTAGTTAAAATAATAATAAAAAGATTCATAATTTTTCAATACAATCTTTCGTGTCATAATTTAATTCGCTAGTTACTTATGTTACGTGTTTTCTACATGTCATACATACGAGTCCATTTTTACCAGACCTGTTAAAATATAATTTACAATTGCCTATTCTGATTTTTAGTAAATAATATAAAAAACATTTTGTTAACAATGATCATATTGTTCACAAAAAACAAAGCTAGTCAACAATAGATGGCGTTTATTAAAATGAAAGATTTAAAAAAAATAAAGTTTAAGCAACTTAACAATGGGTGATACTATTTCATTTTTTTTCAAAACGGAACCAAAGTTTAAATTACTCAACAATAGATGGCGCTCAATCAAAGAAACGAAGTTTAAACTACTCAACAAAAGATGGCGCTTATTCATTTTAAACCACGCTTCAACTACTCACCAATAGATGGCGCTTATTACACTTTATTAACCTACTCAGAGTTCCTGCTTCTTAACAATAGATGACGCTAATTCCTTGTTTAAGCTACTTAACAATAGGTGGCGCTCTTTCAAATCTTTCAAATTAGCGACGTAGTTTAAACTACTCAACAATAGATGACGCTCATTCAAATAAACGTGTTTAAACAGAAAACAAAGTTTAAACTACTTAACTACAAACTCATTATGCAATGAGCACCATCTACGGTATAAAGTCATATTCCTGCCAAGAAATATAAATCTTGAAAAAAATTCTAATCACCTAGCTCACCTGATGTCTGCTGAAACCTTCTCCTCATGTAGTCTACCAGTTTCTCCGCGAGTCCTCGTCGCCGCACTACAACTTTCTCCGCATTCTGTGTCAAAAAAACATGGATATTAAAATTCAAAAACTTAACAAAAAATACCTAGAAAGTAAACATACCTAACTTGAAACTGAACAAAATAATTTTGATGTGTGAATGATAACTGATAAGTCGTTAACAACATTCAAATGTGATTGAATTTGGCAGAATTTTTTACCACGATAACTAGGTAAATATTTATCAGATTCTCAATATTTCTAGCTTAAAATTATTATAAATTCTAGATTTCAACATAAGCACAGAGAGTACAGATTACATTAAGAACACCACTTAATTTAAGAAATTATAACTTTTTTTTTTATAACAGAAGGGGGCAAACGAGCAGCGGGAACACCGAGGTATTCAACGACGCCCATGGACATCAGCAATACCAGAGGAACCACAAATGCGTTGCCGGCCTTTGAGGTGGTGATAAGCTCGCTTCTTGAAGGACCCTAAGTCGTAGCGGTTTGGAAATACCGCCGAGGACAGACCATTCCACAACACTAGCTTAGTCACACTTGACTACTATAATACTCCGGAAAAACGAATCGAATGACACGTCACTCGTCAAAATCGGTTCAGTTTAAACACAACTACAAACTTACATACACGAGAAAAGATCTCTTTTCCAATAAGATAAAAAAAATATAGATGAATACATCTATATCAGTAGGCAACCTTTTAGAGGATGGTTTAAAACAAATATAACAATCTACGGTTTTACAATCGAACTGTTTTAATAAAACCAAAAACAAAGGAACAAACTCCGATTACTTTACAGTCAAACTGTGAATGCTAAAGTAAAGCCTCAATAAATAACTACAATCGAAGGTGTACGAACAATATTGGAGTCTGTCCAATACATTTATTAAGATTTACAACAAACATAACGTATACAATACGAACAAAATACGAAGATGGAAGGAAAAATATTCCCTTTCTGTGCATCACTTCCTCCATAGTCTGCAATTGCGTAGGTCTATGGACAACAGTCGCTTCGCTACTTCAACGATTTCAGACCGCACGCTCCTTTACAACCTTATCATATAAAAAAACAACTCAAAAAGTAAGCTTTGTAAACTATCAAACGTTAATTATTACGGTCATTTAATTAAAAGATTAGTAAGTAAATGAATTAATAAGTAAATGTCTATCTCCGAGACGTACTAAATCAATATAAATGATAATGGCCACTTAACCTAACCTAACCTGTCAGTGCCATCTGTCGAGAACATCTCTGAGGCGTGGCTCAGTGGCGAACTCTTGGCCGCTTACCAGACTCATGATATAATAATTGTCACATAATCTGCCACACAATGCTTTTCAGGTAAATTTTTTACAATTAATAAACTAGAGATAGATATCACTGAATATGAATTTACTGCTTTGTTATGGGTAAACTTTTAACAGAGGTAGTGCCTGCTTTGACATCTTCGTACGAATTGGCCAGTTCGCCCAGACCACCAAAAGACATACCTCAAGTGTAATTCCGCGAACAGTTTGATGAGTGTGCGCCTGAAGGCCTAATTAAAGTCCAGTTTTCCTCTCCACCCACTTTCTTGTAAGGAAAGGAAGTGGATTTTCCGTATGAGATGCATGAGAAGAGAAAACATTCTCTGTGTCCCCTTCTCTGCATATGCCGACATCTATGGGCAGCGGTCACTTCACTTTTTCGGTTGGCAGAATGCTCGTTTGCCATAAAAAATGGAAACGTACAACGTTCATTTTGTCGGTACATTAACAAAATTTATGAATCCATTTTTTCCGTTCGTTTTAACTCTCTCGTTTAATTTATTTGTTTCATTTCTGATACTGACATAATCTGCAATTCAGTTGTGAAATATTACACGCGTTCTCTGTCTCTGTCTTGCTCATACAATTTGGAAAGAGACAGATATATCTAAGAGAGGTATTTGAAAAAAAACAACGACAAGTATTGTACCTTCTCACTCGATAACTATGTACATCATCTACATCGTCTACATTACCTACAACTAGTTTAAGACGAGGTCTACGACAGATTCTACGACGTCCTATTTTCTTGTCTACGACATTACCTACGATTTGATACTCGGAATTAGAAAAACTTAATAAGTAGCCTATGTGTTCTACCAGACTATGTTCATCGGTACGGTATACCTTCTTACATTTTTTTGGCATTTATAATATTAATAATAATTAAGAGGTAAGATATATATATATATATAAAAGAAAGTAGTGTTAGTTACACTATTTATAACTCAAGAACGGCTTTACCGATATGACTGAAAATTGGTGAGGAGGTAGCTTAGAGCCAGGAGACGGACATAAGATACTATTTATTCATTTTTTTATCGAAATTATGCCTTGAATCCTTGAGCTGCTTTTTATTTAACTTACTTATATTATAAATGCGAATGTTTAGGTGGACGGATGGGCGGGCTACATTAATTAAGTTTTCATATATCCTCGCGGACGGAGTCGCGGGCGACAGCTAGTTTATTATAATTTGTTTAGATATAGAATGAGCTGGGTACACTTTCCTGTTAAAAATCATAATTTTATTATGCGGAGTACATAATTTGCGGCATGTGACACTGCGCGGCTAATGTGTCCCTGGGGAGCGTCCTGTCACCTGACGCGGCAATGCAGCTGTAATATTTAAATTGTTACAAACCTCTTTGCTGCGACAAAATGGCCGGTATGCGGTACGTGTCTATTATAGAGCGCTATACATGGACAGGCTATATGTTATGGTTTTTGTGCCAATTTGATTTACGCCATTTTGTTAGCGTTAATGAGAACATGAACTCATAATGAGAATTGACTGTCAGTATCAACAATGTCATGTCCAAGCAACGATCTAACCATCTAAAGAGATCAGTAATTATCATACTTCTTACTAAATTACTTACTAATAAATGCGAATGTTTGGTTGGATGTTTTTTTTTTATATTATAAAGTGGCAAACAAGCGAGCGGCCACTTGAAATCGCTGAAATAGCGAAGTGACCGTTGCCCATAGACATACGCAATTGCATATGCGTTGCCTACCTTTAATCGACGGAGGAGAGGATGCACAGAAAGAAAA